AAATTAACATGAACTCAATATACACAAATTATACCCAAACTTCAACAACGCAAAAGACCCAAATAAAACAGCAGTGGCCAGCGGTGTCAACAAAACACAAATAAACATTAAAAACCCACAGAACAAAGAATGAAAAACAGTCAGACTAAACTTAAATTACCTAATGAAAGGGTAAAATGAACAGATTAAAAAGGTGCCCTCCCAGACAGGAGCATCAGATAACTACCCTGCATGTCCTGCAATAAAACATGGATCGGGGAAACAGGGAAGGGTGTTCAATACACGAAAAAAGGAACATAGAACAGAATGCGAGAAGAAAACAGCGAAGCGTGCACACGAGTAACAAAACACATAGCAGAACAGGAACAACTCAAATTGGCCATTTCTGACCATTGTAAAAGAGAGAACCACATTATGAACTGGGGTGGAGCAAACACATTGGGACAAAGGAAAACAAACACTGTCTCTGGATTAAAGAGGCAATTCGAAATATGGAAACGTGCCTACAGGAATATAAACCGGGATGAGGGGGCTTTTTTACTCTCACACACCTGGGATACTGTCCTGAGGAAGTCATACTGCAGATTGCGCTGTCATCCTGCCTCCACCGATAGGAAGACAGCGCCAAAACCTGTATAAATCAGCTGACCAAACACGTCACAGCAACATCACGTGACCACTCTGAGGAAGACTGCTAGTGAGCAGTCGAAACTGTCAGGTATGAAACAAAACTCTAGGTCTGAAAAAAGAACCTAATAACATAAAATATCGGAAGAATGAATCTCATTGGCCCAAGAAAAGAAACATTTGGTAAGAGAGGGAACCTACCAAGCCTACAGCATAATGTGGAGAAAAACTGGAGAACAGCGAGCAGGTAGGTTTACCACTGTAGGGCTACAGGGCTTAAATGCCGAGCAACAACCCGGAAGAGTAGGGCACCAGCCGACACGTGATATGGTGCCTCACGGGGCAACTGCAAATCAGTCACATAAGAATTGGAATGTTCCACAGTTCCACAGTTTTTTTAAGGTACTGTTGAGCAATAAAAACACTGTAATTAACTACTAAATTACCGATAAGTTAATACAATACTGTGGAACATCCAACACACACCAATAACATCTCCATAGAGACCACAGGTATTCTGTTCTCTCTGCAACCTTGTCCAACATCCAACTACATTAACTCTGACTAAAACAGAATAAATGATTTGTAAAACGTTTATTATAACATCTCCCGTAGCCTGCTGTCTGCTGCCATCATCCGTCTCCTGCAGCGTCTGTGCCTGCCCCATCAGCCTGACACTAAACTCCAAATGAATCTACGAGCGCACCACTTGTACTGTCTGCAACACCGGAGCAACAGCCCTCCACGGCACTGCGGATCTGCCCTATTCTAATATACGGGCCCCTCTCCGTCTCTCAAGGTCGCGTCGCGCCGGCCTACATAATGCATGACTTCCCGTTACTCTTAGCGACCGCAATCATGGCCGCCGAGCCTTGAGATGAAAATTTGACTAAGTAAATCAGCCACCTCACTGGCATTTCTATTACCCGACAGAGAAGATGTATACCACTAAATAAAAACATGCGCTTACAAATCATATTTACTGCGCCACCGTTATTGTTATTCTTTCATATCTCTCAGCTCGGAGTGCACGGGAGAGACTACATGCCTGTGTCTCTGTGCTTTATGAGGACGACTGTCACTCCTCCACTCGTCACTGTCCCCTAGTTAGATTGTGTGTGTAATTATCGTGTCACGTTATTGCGACGGAATAGCTGGCTTTGAATGCCGCAGCTAAATGACCCTGTTAGCATAATTAATTTGAGCATCTGAGGCGGGGAGGGGGGGGGTTGCAAAGTCATGAATATTTATTATGTTCGGCGTTAAATTTTGTCAGACAACAATGCAGCATGTTTGTGTTGGGAGCTGATGTGTTTGATGAAAGAGGGCGAGCGGTCTGAACGCGCACGGGCCAGATCTGAAAGGGTTTTGTTTATAGCGGAGACAATAGTGTTTACAGTACACAAACACACGCGTGAGATATGACAACTGCTACGCTCAATTTACATGAATCCAATAATATCTGCCCCATCAAAGTCAACAATTTAGGGTGAAAATAAACGAAATATTGCATGATTGAACCAGGGACATGTGTTCAAATGTACGATTATTAGGGTTGCACAACGTATTGAAAATCAGGTTCTAATCAATACTAAAACTAGATACTCATTTGAGCAGGTGTCGATACTAAAAGGTCACATTCACAGGACAGAAATTGAACTTTCCTGAATAGTTTTAGAACAGGGGTCTCCAACCTGTAGCTTGGGAGTTACCAGTAGCTCTCTGCCCCCATCCAAGTAGCTCGCCAAAGGGTTTCTGAATTATGTATTGTCCTGAATAAGTAAAATTTCATTACCGTAATTTCCAGACTATTGAGCGCTTCTGAATATAAGTCCCATCAACTAAATTTTAACAAAATTTTACAACTTTACCTATATAGGCCGCACCGGAATATAAGCTGCAGGTGTCCACGTCTTAAAGAACGTTTTCAAGTTCGGGCCGTCTGCTTTTATCGCCTTCAAGATTTTGTCTTCTTTTTGCATTGAGTCAGTTCGTCACGCTGCCATCGCCAACGTCTCATCATCGATTCACTGATGCCGAGCTCACGTGTAGTAGCTCTGTTTCCATCTTCGACAGCCACATCAATTGCCTTTTAACTTAAAAGCTGTATCATCTGCATTTCTTTGTGTGTTTTCCATGAGGAGGGTGTGTGCATGAAGCACAAAATAACTGTTCAAAACACAATCAAACGACCATGTTGCTTAGCGCACTAACCCGCGCTCTCCTACGCATGTGTCCTGCAGAAAGAGCCGCTGTCTTGTCTGGTCTCATGTCAATGTTATGCTCCAGATCCATGTGTCAGTGTCTTTCAGAAGATTTTAGACTCTCCCGGGGGCTAGGTTAGTCAAGTATGAATGACTGTCCAGCAACTGAATTTTGAGACGTTTCTTCTCGTCATTTACACACCCACCTGCATTTAACGCATACAGGTAAGACGTGTCCCACTCACTAATGATAATTTAGCATTATAGCTTATTTTATCATGTGGCAATGAACTGTTTGAATGTGCTGCTAACACTACAACTTCATGTTAACTCTAGATCCATGTGTCAACCGCACACACAGCGGCGTTTTCTCAGGCTGCGTGCACAACCGCTGTGTTGCCAGACCGTAGACCGTATGTATGAATGGACAATGTGCCAAACAAAACAAACAGCGGGGTTGAAAGTGTGAGAAAAAAATTTGCGGCTTATATAATTACCTTTTCACATTTTGCCAGAGATAAGGAAGTCTGCCTGATTCTTTGACATGGGAACTAGGGCCAGGTATCATTAACACATACATACATAGGCCACGATGCATATCTTGATACAGTGAGCTTTCGAAATCATGGCTGTGATACTAAAAGTCTTTGTTAAACCACTACTTGTGTAAAGTGAATATGAAACACCCATACATGTCAAATGTGTGTTACATAAACAAGTTTCCTTCCTTTAAACAAGCAACAAAACTGTAGCGCTGTAACAAAATAATTCAGTAAAATATACCAAAAAATACTCTTGGCAATATATCAATATTACAGCCCACGATATTGATACCCTTATCATCACATTAAATGATGCGATATATATTGATATTCCTATCATTTTGCACACCCCTAATGGGAATATTTAAGAAAAGTACTATGATTTAATGTTGAAAATGTTATTCTATTGTCTAAACAAAGAGTGTTTAATTACCATTGTGGTATCAAAATCTGTCTAAATCTGTTTCTTAGTTTAGTAGACCTACAGTATAAATGAAAACTACAGATACAATAGATCAATTAGATTGGGTGCTTCATTGTTGGAAAAATCCTAACCACAATTATTAAATTTAACCATTTAGAAAATGCTGTTAGATTTCCAGTCTAACTACTAAAACTTTTAGTCTCACTAGCCACTTTGGCCAGTTGCAGTTTATGTGTAGTGTATGTATTATCTTTATTCTTTGGTTATTTTTATTCTTTGGTTAACGCTTAACAAAAATGTGAGTCTGGTCACCAAAGAATCTAAGTTCAGGTGGGTGTGACTGACAGGTAGAATAGCCAACTAGGGACAAATGCTTACAAGGAAAAAACAAAGAGAAAGCATCACAGGGGACTGAAAAACATTGCAGATTTCTGCAGAATCAATGAGCTCTGTTTTGGTGACCTGGTGATCAATGAGCTCCTTTGTTTCATATGCATCATTGAAAGAAACAAATGTGATTACACATCCTGTTTGGTTCTGGCTTGAGATGAGATGGAGGGTGTGATGGAGACCAGACTGACATCCCTCTGTATAAAATATACAAAGAGATACCCAAGAGATACCATTCTGGATTTGCCAGGCAACAATCATGATCCTCATGGATATAAGCACTTTAACCGCTAAGGCTTGGTGATGTTTTTGGAATAACCCTTGTTTGAGCCTAAATTTTAATAAACATGGCACCGTGAATGCTTGCCTTAAATACTGTACCTGCGTTTGAGGAGTCGTGCAGACCTTACCTGTGCACTCTGGTAATGGTGCAGCGCATGCAGAGTTCTTAAGGTGCAGGGCTGTTATGATACACTGCATTTAAAGGGCCAAAGATGCCTCCTCACACTCATGGTGTTATCTTTGATCCACACTGAACCAGAGCTAACACCCTACACACTCATACAATGCAGGGGGAGTGGTCTAAAGTGTCCTCACTCACACAGCACTGGGAGACACACATGCGCGCACACACACACACACACACACACACACACACACACACACACACACACACACACACACACACACACTCAGTTCACTGCTGCTGTGAGTGTGCTTTACACCTTCAGCCCATTAAACAGAGTCCACCACAAGCACAGCCCTGGTGACATCTCCTCTTTAAACCCTGTATGTGCTGCTAGGACAGGACCATTATGCAGACTTTAACCACGGGTGGTCTTTGATGCTCTGCAGGGTCAGGCGCTCTTCAGGGTCCTTCTTCAAGCAGCCACTCAGCAGGTCTCTGCATCCTGCATTCACACAGACAGGAGATTAGAGTCAGGAACACTGTGCTAGTCAAAGCCAAATGTTGATGAGATGAGATGTACAGTTACCTCGTGGAATACATTGTGGAATAGGAACACTTCTCATTGACCCGATGGACTCCTATCAAACCAGAGGAAACTTGTTGAAGAGCAGGATATACAGCACCATGCCCAATTGCCACACCATGGTGGGTCCTGCTGTGTAGCTGTGTTCACGGAACCACTCCGGAGAGAAGTAAATTGGAGTGCCTGAAAAACAAACCTATTTAGGAGAATACTGGTATATTTCATGAAGTAAATGTACAAAACATGGTTAACTTCATCAAGAGTACTTTATCACAACAGTAAAGACTTTGTCAGGTACATTTGATCATTCATTAGCAACAGTACAGTGTTTACCTTGTGGATTATTAAACTCTTGTCCAGGTGTGAAAAGGACGGCACTGATAAAGTCTACGAAACTGGCTCTGGGGAGGTTGAAGCCCGTCTCCAACAGCACATTGTCGGGCTTGATGTCAAGGTGAAAGATGCCTTTAGACTCCAGCTCGTTAGCTTGATCCACCAACTGACGGAAAATAACCTGAAAGAAATCAGTGATATGTGAAGTTCTCAGTAATTACTACTTTTAGAGAGGTCTCATTTTAAACCCTTACTTTGGCCAAGTTGGCATTGACGGATCCCCATTCTCTTAAGTAGTCCATAAGGTCCTGGCAGGGCACTGGTCACTCCAGCACCAACACAATCTCCTGGTCCAGGTCGTACCAGTCCAGCAGCTGTGGAGTCACTCTGGAGTCTGAGGAGGTGGGGCCTGCTCCTGCCCTAATCAGGACCTAGACCTCCTGAGGGAGTGCGACTGAAACTCCATCCATCTCCTTTGAACCACACAACCAACAGTAGTAATAATGATGGAGACATACTTGTATACTTAAAGATACAGAATATATTACTTACCACATCTGTGTACTTCACCTTATTCTTACTGATGAACTTGAGAGCCACCTGTAGAGTCAAAATGTGATGTCAGTGTTACTATTAAAAATCATTGTAAATGCTTTTCAAATCTAATGAATTAATGGATGCTTTAGTTATACTTAAACCAAGTAGATTCAAATACATTTGTTAGACTTATTGGTTTGTCGTCCTCAATGCGGACCCCAGCAAAGACTCGTCCAAAGCCTCCTTTCTGCAACATCTCAGCCCACGTGGACTTTTTGCAGGGCGCTGTAAAAAATGTTTGATTTGAATAAAACAGCATTTACCAGCAGATTTCTAGATACATAATAAACATTGTTACTCTTACCCTGTCTGCGCCGCTCGGGGTGGAGTCTGCTTGGGTTTCCTGCTCCATTTGCTCTATAAGATTTTGGGAGAATGAATGGTATGTCAGTGTCACATTCTTATTATCTGCCATTTTTTGATGCAGTGTAGTTCTGTGTTGACTTTTACCTTTTATGGACAAACTGCTGTCACTGTCACACTTGTTTTCCTGTCCTCCTTCAGAGCAACTCCTCTCCACATCGGATGAGCTGACCCTGGACCTAGCTGCTCAAGAATAACAAACACAAAAAATGTCCACTGAAACCTTGTCTACTATTTGAGGTTGTCACACTATTAGGTACATGGTAAATCTTACAGCAGCAAACAAACAATACAAATTGGCCCATGCAGTTAAATGTGTAAATTATATTACCTGTCTTCCTCTGCTTGACTTTTTTTCTGAATTTCCTCTTTGAAGTGGGATGCGTCTTGCTCCAATTAGTCAAGGTGCTCGATTTCTCATTTACATGTGGATGAGTCTTGCAATTCCTGCCTCTTTTGCTCTATAAAATAAGGTCAAATAATGCTATACTATTTTTTGACATGTTCACTATCTTTTCTTTTGATGTAGTTTTTTCAGGCATTTGGTTTTGTGTTGCCTCTTACCTTCTAAAAGCCTCTTGTTTGCCTCTCAGTCACTCTCGTCCACATCAGATGAGCTAAGCCTGGACCTATCTGTTCAAGAATAAAAAACATGACAGACATGACAAGATTTTATTGTTATATTGTTATGTATTGGCCAAAGTATAAGTTAACATTGGTACTAGGGTGACCACCTGTCTTTTTTGCCACCATTTTCCCCAGTGTCTTTCTGAGCTGTGATATGATGCTATTCTAAGTTCTCTTAATACATAAACATTTAAAGTCATATGGGCTTAAATGTTAAATGTATAGGTTATATTACCTGTCTTTTTCAGCCAGACTTTTTTCCAAAGTGCCAGGTCATGTTTCAACTTGAATTTCCTTTTCTTTGGAGCATCATCTGCCTTGGTCTTCTTCGGTGAACTGCTCTGCTCCTCGTCCTCCTGCTCGCTGCATGAAGACCTTCTCTTGGTACCACTTGTCCCAGGGCAGGATAAGACTCCACTAGTCCCTGGTGTAGAACTGAAGGCAGTGCTGCTACAGCTTGGTGCAGATGGGAACTCCTGTGTGTGTCGTTCTAGAAATCATATGTCCCTTGTGTTAATGGTGGTAATGCTTATACAATATATCTGTACTGAGACAAGAGTCATTTTTACACACTTACCCTGTGCGTCACTCAACGTCTTGTATTCTTTTGGCCTTTCCTGTTTGTTTTGCACTATAAAATGTAGGGAGAATTAATGGTATGCAGTTTCTTCAAATTTTTCTGTCTATAATTACTACTGATGTAGTTATTTATTTTTGTGTTGCCTCTTACCTTCTATGAGCCGCTTGAACGCCTCAGAGTCACTCTCGACCACATTAGAGGAGCTCAGCCTGGACCCATCTGCTCAAGAAAAAACATGACAAATGTTTAAATATCAGTATGTCAACATTTCATTTTTTTAAGTTTACTGCTAAGTATAAGTAAAAATACTAGGTAACACAGGTAGTAACGTGAGCACCTGTCCCTCTTTTTACTGCAGACACTAGGAAATACTAGTTTTGGATTCTAGTTTTTAGACCAGTACCATCAGATTCAAAATAACTAATGGATGCGAATAGAAACAAACTGATTTCAGCAGTGTCTAGATAATTTGCTTTGAAACTTTTTGCTACCATTTGAGGTTGTCACAGTACAAACTGGCCCATGTAGTTAAACTTATAGGTTATATTACCTGTCTTTTTCAGCCAGACATTTTTCTAAAGTGCCATGTCATGTTTGGACTTGGATTTTCTCGTCTTTGGAGCGGTGTCTGTCTTGCTCCTTTTCGTCTGACAGCACTCCTCCTCCTCTTTACACGGAGACATTCTCTTGGTGTTTTGAACGTGTCCATCGTTTGGAGATGTGGAGGAACCAGTCTGGGATAAGACTCTACTCGACCCTGGTGAAGAACTGGACTCATCGTTGCCAGACTCGGGTTTGTCAGTCTGATCCTGAAAATCACATATAACTTTTATTAATGGCAGTAATGGCAAACTGTAATGACAGATACAAAACTAGAGTACAGTTGCAGTTGATAGTCAAAATGTTTTGTCAATACATTGTAGTTCACTGTAGTTCATGAGTCTTATAGTGGTGGTCTAGTCTTTGTTGCAGCCTTTGTGATTTGATGGTTGCGTTAGCTCAAACTGCAATTTCAATTCAATAGCAGTATATTGTGCAGTCCAATTAGTTTCTAAAACTTTAGTGTGCTCACTGCTGCCCAAAATAAAATGGTTATTCAGTCACAATTTCACTAACAATAGCAGTATTCACATTGTTAACTCGGGTCACTTTTAATGGCTCTTGTTACTTGTCAAACTTTGTCAATAGTCTTGTCAAACTTAGGGTGACCAGATTTTCAAAATTCAAAACTGGGACACACCCAGATTGGGATGGTTGGTATAAATAAAACTGTGAAAAGAGCACGTAACATTGTCCATTCTCGACTCATTTGTGGGTCAGTTATAATCTGAGGGACTTCTATTGGTGCATTGTTTCCTTATGGTTCAAGCACTGTTTGCTGTATTTTAGTTAAACAAATGGCAATATATGCCTCTGTTTACTGTTGGCAGGGATCAGATTGGTCAAAAATAGGGACACCTGGGACATTTCTTGTATAAAACTGGGACAAGTCACTGGTTTTGGCAAAATCTGCTGGGACAGGGGACACAGGGCTCAAACCTGGGACTGTTTACCCTATTCCCCCCTAGTCAAACTATTGTATACAGTTTAACTTCAGCAAAAACATGGGCAAAACAACAGTTTGAAGTTACTTTCACCTTTACTTATATTGCCTGGTCCCAAAAATCTTAGCCCAAAAAAAGACGTCAAACTGGTAAAGTCATGTGTGTGGCTTGGCTTGGGAAGCTAATGCTAATAGTTTAAGCTAGTTTGCTTCAAAAGTTAGATAACAGTTAGATAAAAGGTACAGAACAACAAAATTTTACATCTCCAAAACTTACCTTGAGTGGGAACTTTTGGCTCAGTACAGCTTGGCATTCTGTTCATGGTGAATTTGTACGTTTATCCTAAAACTTTGCCGCTAATACTTAGCTCAGGTGCTAAAAGTTGCCGGATTAAGTGCTTCTAACAAAAATAAATGCAAAATGATACGAGAAGGTCTGTCTGACAGCCTGTCTCTTCGTGTGTCTAACTGTAAATGGCAGTCATGTGACCTTTACTTAAGGTCTGATGTCTGGTCTGCATGATGGCGACAGGCCTGATATCACTGTACTGGACATTCTATATTATAATGATTGAAGCACAGTTCAAATGTCAAAGGTCAAACATATGCTATAGAGAACCTGCAGTCATGTGACCGTTTTTATTTTGGCCACCATATTGACGGTCCCAATGAAGGTAACTAACATTCTCATAACATGGAACACATGTACCACACTTCTCACTTGGACGCAAGTAATAAATTAAAGCACGAGGCAAAATTAAACAGGTTCAATATTTCAGAAATATAAATATAGATATACTAGATATGCTGTTCCCTTAATCCTTTAAGATTTATTAATTGAAATAAATAAATTAATAAATTGTTACTTTTGTCTCTTTCATATAGCTGCTTAAAAACCTGGAAACAATGGACTTACACTCTCTCTCAGCATCTTTCTATAGTAGGCCTGTGCCTCTCACAGGGAGCATTTATTATTATTAGGGGTTTAATATATATCCTCCTCCTTGCACATTAGGACAATTTGTTTATTTAACTTGATGGTTACAATTATTTCTACCAGCTCCTGGCCATTCAGGTGCTAACATACATGTATATGCGTTATATGTATATATAACACATTATATGCACATATATGTATGTAGCGTTATAATTGTTTTGCCTCGAGTGTTTTGTGGAGTGGGTAAGACTAACTATGGCCATTGACATGCACTAGCCTAGCACCAGCGACCTCTGCAAATACAAGGACTGGATGGAATATTTTAAATACAGGCCCTATAATGTGCTAAACAGTCACAGTTAAACATCATCAAGCCCACAAATGCTTATATAATTTACAAAAACAGGCCTTCATTCAGTTCTATGCTGTCACCGATTTCTTTATTTCTTTAGCTGAGTAATTGTATATTGATATTGCAATTCCTAGGATGCAGGCTTAAATATGAATGTAATTTTTATTTGTGGACATAAACAATAATTACATATAGGCCTGATGCCCGGCTTTTTAAATTAGTGCCCATGGGGAACATACAGAAATGTGCTAATGAAAATGATGACCAAAACAAAGTCTCTATATGAAATGTAAAACTGGACGCAGAGCTAATTTAAAACATGCAATTACAATATTAAAGTGACAGTTTATGCCACATCAGTTGAACAGTGAGCACATGTATTTGGCAAAGAACATAGAGTAATTATACAAAATGTTAATATCCCTCCTCAGGCTAACAGCACAAGGCAGTGACTTTACACGCTCCACTTGGGCGATCAGACGTTTGCTCGCACAATTCTGGAACTATTGGCATTTCCTGGCCTCCTCTGATTCGTCCTCGGGGTTTACTGTGTGGACTGTGGAGGATCTGACCAGGAAAAAGCAGGATATACCCCAAGGAGAGATGGAGGATTTCTCACATGGACAGTTCAGTCAGCTGCACTCAGGCGTGAGAGAGATGTTCTATACAGACTCTGTGGACATGTCGGCCGAGCACTTTCTTCATCACAGCAAGAAGGTTCCGGGTTTGATTTTGAGGTAGTCAAGGCTTATCTGTAGAGTTTTGATGTTTTCCTCATTGGGTTGTCATAAGCATAGAAAATCAGATACTAGGGATGTAACAATAACCAAAATATCATGATATCGAATCGTCAAATGTCTTACAATATGATAGTGGACCATCACAATATATTGAATTACAAGTTTCTTTGCTAAAGTAATAGTTATGGTGCAACAATAGCTAAAAAAAAAAAAAAAGAGGGAACTACATAGACCATGATCCTTTGCTCCATTTAAGCGCACACTACACGAAGAAATAACTGTTATAAGCACGTTGAAATATTAGTTCTTTGGATTAAGTCTCAAAGGAAAAAGGAATCAGATACTAATCAGTTTAAAAGGAAAAAGTAGCATATTCATAGTTTTGTTGCCCTCCAAAAAATATTGCAATTAATATCGTACTGTGAGCTGTATACCATGAAAATATCGCACTGAGAGATTTGAATATCATTACATTCCTATCAGATACTAATTGATACTAAAATTTGTATTGAAACTAGATATTAATTTGAGCAAGTATCGATACTATAAGCAAGTATCAATACTGTAAGTACAGATTGTAAAAAAGTCACTTCTACAGGACAGAAATGATGAATGATCGTGAGCTGTACCAGAACAAGTACAAGATCACATATTCCTGGATGATTGAGGGATTACCACATGATAATGTAAAAGACCCCCGCGACCGGCCCCGGATAAGCAGAAGAAAATGGATGGATGGATAATATAAAAGAAAGTACTATAATTTTATGCTGAAAATGACATTCTACTACTGCTTATATATACTTTTTTTTTGTATTATTCTTATTATTATCATTGTGGTATCAGAATCCGTACTGAATTTGAATCTATTGTTTTAGAATTTAAATCGAGTTCAGTTTAGAATTTAAACCGAGTTCAGTGGGATTCCTCAAGGTACTGTGCTTTCCCCCTTAATATTGTACAATTCCAGACTATAAGTCTATATTGGTTGCGACTTCCTGTGTATGAGCACCATTTTGTGCACTTTTCATTATTCACAATATATGATATGGTCTTTTAAACTGTTAATTGCCATGGCAAATGTGTATTTTTTCAACACTCTGAAATGCAGGTTAACTATCTTGCCTTTCAATATTGTTTCTACTAAAAACAGTAAGCCAAATTTGTGGCTAATGTTGTGAATTACTTAATATCTCAAGGCTGCATTAAAAGTACAATATATATACTTAGCCTGCTATTGTAGTATGTTGTCATTTACATATATATATAGTACAATATTATAATAAGATGCCTGGTGATAAGTGAAAAAGTGATAAGTGAAATTGGTTCAAGATAACCCAGTGAATTGCAATGGTCAATGTCAACAACCCAGGTTAGAATATAGGACACATACTGTCACATATTGATGATGTCATTCGTAGGTGTCAAGACCAAAGTCGTTCACTAAAATCCTTGAAGATAAAGTATGTACGAGGGCACATAACATCTTATTTTTCTTAGATCATCCCAAACTGGCTCATCGTTGAAAAATGGTCTATTGTCTCTGAGGCCACTTTTGACGAATTGCCTTTGAACTGTAAAGAACATTCTTCCATTACGCACGATATATACCCATGACCCACGGGTGCTCCGGGCCCTAGGGTGCTCCGGTGCTCCATGTTAGCCTGGCTGGTATTTCCTCTCTCATCTCCTCATCTCGGGGGTCTTCTGCGGGGCACCCATCTTTAAGCGCCTCGCCTTGGCCTTGGCCCGTCATGGTGACATACAGGCTGTGACTAATGGTGAGGAAAAGGTGGGTGGGTGGGTGGGGGGTTGGGGAGGGAGACCGGTCTCGAAGACGGCCGACCCAGCTCCCGGGGCAACGCACTAGCACGTAAATGAAATCCTTGAATCATGAATACTGGGACGGCTACAACTGCTATTTACGGCGCTCCTCTGGTGTTATACGAGTTAATATCGGTGGTCAGTGGTCACGCTCATGTTTTAAGAATGCTCTTGTGTCTCTATGGAGAGTGTCTGAGGGGAGGTTATTGACTTTCATTTGTCTCCCACAAAACTGCTGCTCCATTAGAAGACAATGCAAGTGTATAGAGGAAATTATATAGTTTTGGGGTTTTTTTGAGCAGTAATGTCTCCCTTGCAATTTCAGATGTATAAGAAGGGTCCTATATTACACAAAACTGTCTCTTGTGAGCTTTAAGCCATGTTATAATGATGTCAACTCCTCAAAAACATCTGAGGTCGTGTTTTGTTTAATAAAATTCAGTCACACAAAACACTTAGTGAAGAAGATTAAAACTAGTCTCAGTTGCTTTTGTTTCATACATAAAGATCTAACGCTCCAGACTTCTAAACTATTCATGAATGCATTGATCCTATTGTACCATCTCATGGTCACGGGCCTCCTCAACCACATCGAAACTGCAATGTTCATTATACAAACTGACCCTCAACATCCTTGACATAAAGCCCAGACACTGGCACCACTTCAAAATTTTTAAGAAACATAACCTTTTTAACTTTGAAAATTTTACCACTTTTAATCATCTTAAACTGTTTTTAAGTGTCTGTTATACACCACTGTATTCAGAATTTGCCAGGTAACACAAGAGGTGCTACTAGTGGTAACTGTGTCGTTCCTATGTACAGGACGACTCTGGGTCAGTCTCTTTCTCTGCTAAAGGGACCAAACTGTGGAACTGTTTACCAGCTGATTTAATATTGGAAAGCAATAACAACAAATTTAAACATAAATTAAAATTAATGTATGTTTCCAATCAAAACTGCATCCACTGAAAATGTTCTGTATATATTTTATCTGTATGTAACTAATGTGTCTTATCTATTTTTATGCATGTAGTTTATATTTTTTATACGAACAGGTGTTGAAAACTAGTCAAGCTGGCGCCACTTATAGTGCCTCTACTCAGTTTCATTTCTCTCCAGTGACTAGGTCAGGAATCGGAATACACTAGATGGTTTGCAAGAACCCTGGAAGTTGTAAATCACGCACTGACCAATCAGCAAAAAGCTGTGAAGTCATGACAACAAAGTCAAGCTCCTGCCTGGGTCCCTTTTGTGGTACAGCACAACAGTAAACAAAGCAGTTGTGATGGATGTAGACGAAGCCAGACACTCTGCGTTGGCAACGATTCCCGAGATCGAGGATTTAAAGAAGGAACAAAGATAATGTTTGGTGAATTTTATCAAGGGGAAAGACGTTAGTACCCTTCTTCCTACGGGATTTGGCGCATTACATACGTGATGAGAGAACAAATGCTAATGTTGCACGGTCAGATGGTTTCCATGAAGTGAAACCGGCTGATGAATCAGGCTAGTTGAAAACAGCACTTGTATTAAAACACTCAAAGCAATGCACCTGGCTTGTCTAATGTGACTGTGATGTCCTTAATAAACATAAATAAATAAACTTTATTATTAGTCTATTTACATTGCCACCTTGTGATGTCATGAAGTAGTAGTCCTCAATCAAACAGCTACCTTTTACTGTTAGTTTAGTAGAGATAGGCAAGTTCCAGGGTTTAAATCATCTAATGAAGATGTATGGCGTTTAAAACATAGTGGAGCACTTCCTGTATCACCACATGACATCACAAGATGGAAAAGGGAATAGAACCATCAACCACCTCAACCTATCCATCTCCTCCTCTTCACCACCACTGAAACAGTAGTAGTTAGTACGCCTTGGAACTGTGCTGTAAACGCAAAATACAAATGTAATACAGTTAAAGACTAGTTTTGCCAAGGTAACCAACAAAGAAATCAATAGTAACAAGAGAAGTTGCTATATTTTGCCATTTTATGCCAGATCCTCTTCCTCACTCTCTTTATTCGAGGTCTCATAATCTCCATTATCACTTGAATATTTCCATCAACCATTTATCACCTCTAGAAAAAACACCAATACATCAATTCAACCTATGTACGGAAAGTTAAATTTGGCCTGGAAATTGCAAATAAACAAACAAAAAATATTTAGCTTTTGCAATCTGCCTCCAACTGTTTATAACCGTCTCCACTTGAGTCCATTTATTATTTACTATTTACAAAACCCACTATAACTTCAGACCTCAAAGTTAACAACAACTTCTTATCATCTTTCTCACCACAATTCTCCAGTTCCAATATGCATATGTGGATTCATCGCCAATAGCAGCACATATCGATCCGTGCGTGCGGATACTTAGAATGTCCGTGAGCGAGGAGTTTGATTGGTGCTTGTGAATGTGTGGGTAAATTCTAACCATGAACCTTGGCGTTTGGGTATTAGCATTTCCTCCTCTCTCATCGGCCTAACCTTGCGCGTCTCTCCAAACATATTGATCAGGCTGTGAGAGAGGAGGCAGGATACAAAACAAGTTCAGAGGCTACATCTGAATGGAATATGCTTCGCTAATAGTAGCTCATTATTTTTGTTTTACGGTGTAATGTCGGCACGAGTGAGACCACAGAGAGAGAACACAGAGAGAGACTACTGAGAAGGCAAAACGGTTCACTTGAAAACACTGTTGGCAAAATTATCTTCCAACTATTTTAACTTTGCATGGTTGTGTTTGGATTCACAAAGTTGGAGTTTAAGATAATTTATTCCAATATATAAAATACATTTCAAGGTTCACTGCGTAACTTCTCTGATGTCTGAGGGTCACACCATTTGCTTGTCTCCATGCAAATATTATTGCTAATAAAATGTTCCACAGTATAACATGATATAATAATCTTCATGAGGACAGTCAAGTGCTCTCACCAAGCCGAGATGCAGACCAGATCTGTGGAGGGGCGACCACACTCACTGTAAGAATGCATGTTTTAGAGGGGATTTTGAGCAATAAAAACATCTGTAATCGAATAAAAACACTACTTTCATAATAAGCCAAAGATGTTCATTTTGTCTTCTCATGTACTTTAACTTCTGTTACAGCTGTTGTTACAGAAAGTACCAACAGCTGATCTTTGAAGATGACTTGCAGCTAACAGCCGAAACATGTCAACAAGGTAAATACCCTTTACTGCATTGTCTTTAAAAAGAACCCAAAAAGTTAAACTACTTCCATATGATGAGATAAGCGGGCGGCAAAATACCCATCTGAAACGTTCTGCAGTGCATCTTTAACAGCCTATACAGGTGGTGTAACAGTAAATGTATTCACACCAAACGCTACGTTTCGGTACAGGACGTTCAGTTTGGTGCAGGAGTGAGTTTGCGCAATTTTTTTTGGTTTACATTCCCCCACTACATGTGCAGCTACACGAAAGGCTCAACTTTTTAATATTCACAAGGGAACTCGTCCGCGATTGAGGTGGCAGTGTTTCCCGTAGTGCTTTATAGTTAGGGCGGCTGTCTTGACAACAATTGCCCCTGGCCTTGACTATGTCCCTCCAAACCACGTAAATCCTCGCAAAACTACGCTCGTCACGCCCAGGTCCTCACTTTCACCTTTCGCTGGCACGGCTTTACATTTATTTTATTTTCCTGTTTGTATAATGTTAAAACAAATAAACAACAATGGAATGGAAAAATGTTAAATAGTTTTGCATTTTTTTCTCATACTGTACCGAAAATGAACCATGACTTCAAAACTGAGGTATGTACCGAACCTGTGATTTTGGAGTGCCGTTACATCCTTAGTCTATACCGTATAACCTGTAGCTTATATCTCAACATCCCTGGGAAAATGCACTGACCAATCATTATACATTTATTATATTCAAAACTGCACAAGAGAACTTCTGTCAGCTGCCCTGTGCTGATATCTGTACTGTAATGTGGCACCAGTACTGTCTTTATGAACTGTCAGTTGTGTTTTGAGATAAAATGTTCAAGAGATGACCAAGAAACAAAATCTGAAGACAACAGAAGACCCTCTAAGATGGCAAATGGCTACACACAGTAATCTCAGCAATTCCACTTTGTCCGTTTTGACGTTTGACTTTCAGTTCCGAACCAATCCGTCAGTGAACTTTTCGAGGGCCGAGATAACGAACACAAACAACAAAAGACAAAAAGAGAGAGAGAGAGAGAAAAAAACACGCACAACGCATCCCTTCGCCCCCTGCTCCTCTGTTGTCCTGCTTTAATTCTGTTAATCGGCCTCAGGTAAAGATTAGCTGCTGCTGCCAATTTAACTCAACCTCAAATGATGCCGCTACAAGGTCACTTTTTCTTCGTCTGTCTCTTTCCCTTCTCTCCCCCTCTCTCTCTCCATCTATCTGTCCGTCTCCTCCATTCCTCTTTCCGAGCGCAGGATTGAGTTGTCATGTACTTCTAATAGGCAGCACGGGGAATCATTAGTCCGGCTCTGCTCCCTGACTGATGGCTATTTCGCTCCAATCATCTGCGCCTCTGGACCGTGTGTGCGTGCCATACTACACAATGAGACACCCCACCACCCGCCCCGCCACCCTTCCCCCTCTTCACCCAACCCCCCCACACACCCGCCCCGGTGTATTGACAGCGTGTCACTGCTGAGGGGAGATGTCTTAATCAACTCGGACACAGCGGGCATTGATTTGACAAGGAGCCGTAATGACCTCCTTGTTTTGGTAAAGGATCACTGTTTACCCGGAGCCGGCGACCATGCCTCATTGTCATGGAAACTATTATCACAGAGAAAGAGTCGCCGGTTCAATTCCCCCCGGGCGCTCTGCTTGTCTATCCGTATAAGCGCACTTTGCCGATATTGATACGTTTGGGTTCGTACGGTGGCTGGCGAGGGTCAAAGGCAACATCAGAGG